CAACCTCATTGTTTATATTTTATTACAGGATAAAATAATATAACATATAGCTACTAGTATAAAAATTAATGAATTGTTATACAAACTGATTTAAAAGCACTACATAAAATACTTAACATTTATAATACTACATTAACATAACAAAATGCAAAGTAAAAAATTGTTCTTACTATAGGGTAATGAAATGACAAGATTCTGACAAAAGTATAAATTACAACAATGAATATAAATAACAAATTAAACAATGGGTACATCTGAAATGAAAAAAATTAAGGATTACTAAATTAACTTGTTACATTTTTAACAAAATAATAATTATACTATACATAAAATATAAAATTCCATGAAAAACATTCAATGCTCAAACAGAAGAAATACTTTGATATTGTAGAAGATGCACGTTTTGGAACATTTTAGATACATTGAGTGTATTGAGAAGCATAGACAATAGTTTCATTTTAAGTTAAGTTAATAAAAGTAGAAACAATAAGACGCTCAATATCAGCTAATTAAGAACGCATTAGAAACATTTGTGAGGTTAAGGATCAATGTTAAAAAATGGATGTACCTTAAAATACAAATGAAGTATCACTTATTAATTACAAATACTCACAGCAAAATGAGTAAATTCAAATAATGCAAGAGATAAACGTATTTTCATCGAGAACATGCAAATATGATTCCCGACTTCTGGCATGTTGTGAGAAATCATCAATATTTGTAGTATCTTTTATAAACTTAAAACCGTCAAATATCTAACCTGTACACACATACACGTATTGACTATGATAAAAGTAAGACATTACGAACAAAACACTGCAATCGCACAACCGAAAAACACCAAGTGAATAATTCAACCGTGTATAGTAGCAATGAAATAGTGAGTTTATAGATGGCACAATCAATAGCACATATATGTCATTTCCTACTTTCAACATAATTTACATTTCGTTACGATTACTAGATTTTCGTCTTTGTAAGAAAAAGAAATAAATTTTAGAACACAATAAATCTTTATATATACGTATATGTACATATATTATTTAATTAAGTGAAATGAATAAGCTATTATTCAGTATATATTTTTAGTGCTCTATTTATATTATACTATATAACACACTGTCAAGTTAAAGGCATGCCAATTATATCACTAATAATCTAGGGAAGTTAGGTGTAATTAAAACTTTACATCTAAGGAGAAGACACATAAAAATTATTTTTCCGTAAAGTATTCACATAATTTATGCAGAAATTATTGAATAAAATTTGTAACTAAATGTTAATGGTAGCAATACACAGTGGCGGTCAGTTACTTAAGATCGATCCATAGTTTAGGAAATAAACATGACTGATGTATCATAAAGTTTATTTTTCACATAATGAATTTATAAATAATGCATGTTGAGTATTACATAACATAATACCAGTACAACTTTATTTTGGACTAATAAATTGTGAATATTTTTAATATTTGGTTATTTCATGTCATTGCAATAGTGGACTACCACTTAAGACCTAAGAAGCTATTGTATGAAAAGAAGTTAGATGTCATTAATAACGCGTTGCTCTTCCCTTCTACCGAATAATTTCTTCGCAACGACGTGGCATTGAGTTAATTAAACACCGACAACGCTTGACTAGAATTTTATTCCATCCTTTTCAATAACGGCACAAAATTCATTTAAATTTTTTGGTTTTTTGTGTTTAATATATTTTTTCATTAATTCTATGAATAGGACTAACATCTTGTAATGTCATTGCTCCCTAAACGTTCATGAATCACCTAAACCTATTATAGTTAATTTTATATGTTTTAATGAATATTCTTTGTTAACATGTCGTCGAGCGTAGATCTTTTCTTCGAAAATCATGTAAAAAATAAAATATATCAATAAATAAATATATATTATAAAAAAAAAACATTGTTTTGTTTAAAATCCAGCTATAACTTGTTTCTAAGAATATTGGTGCGTGCTCCTTGTTTATGCTATACTTTATTGTTAATTACAACAAGCATTGAAAGTGTTTATGAAATAAAATATGGCAAGCAATCTGTATTTTGATAATAAACAGTTTCAATTTTATTACGCTTCAATCACAGTATCGTTTTTTCTTTTAACCCTAGAAGAGCTATAGAATAAATTTGTCACCCAATGTATTACCACAGATGAGGTACAGAAACCCTAGAAGTAACATAAACGACAATGACGATGGTTCTATGGAAATGACGTACAATGTGTACGTGTACGGTAGCGAATGGCGTATTTAGTTCTAGGGCAGAACCGATTTCAAAGTTGCTGTACGTTAAGTGGTCAAACAAACTCGAGCAAGAAGAGATATTTTAGCAGTGAACCACGCCGACTCAAGCAACAATCCTGATGTATCAAAATCCAATTCACTAAAGAAAATTAATGATATTTTTAATCCAATTGCTTTTACAATAAATACTATTCATGAGAATGCGGTATACATAATATAAAATTATAAGAAATATTTTTGCTTATGTATTAAAAAGATTACTAAAAAACGTAATACGGAAGTTGAATTAGAACAGAATAAAAAGGAAAAGAAATGTTAACCTAAGGTGTATTTGAATCATGTACATATATACCCTTCGTTTACTAACAATAAACTACAGCCATAGCCATTACACCAGTAACCTGCTTGATTTAGCCACTTCAAAGGTTGTCTCCCCCACCAACGCTGAATTCAACCTTTATTGTTAAATATCTCATAAACTATTGAGCTTTATTGAACTTTTATCGATCTGCAGAGTTTCATCAAAATCCGAAAGTTACACTTTATCTGTTTCCCTTGTCAGCGTACAATTTGATGTTGAGAATTAATAATATTTCGTGTATCATATAAAAGAGTTTAATTTCATTTAAAAAATATACAATATGCAAGAATATATTGTATGTGCCATATGTATTCAATTTATAAGATAGCATTATGTACATGATAGGCAAATCATTTTTGTATCGTCTTACATTAAAAATTAATGTTTATAAATTTATTAAAATTTATTATTTTAAAAATAAA